CAAAGCGCAGGATGATCGTCCAGATCATGCCCAGAGTCATCTTGGCGTTCCCGTCCACGATCTCTGCGGGGGGGAAAACGCCCCAGGGTCAGGAATTCCAGCTGGGAATTCCCAAAACGGTGGAGGCAAAAAATGATGGAATCCTAAAATTGATGGGATTAATCAGGGAATCCTACAGCAACGGCATCTGGATTTGTGGAGGTCTTAGGATGTGAAGTTTTAGAATTACAAGACTCAAAATTTACGGGACCTTGGGATTAAGGGACGCTGGAATTGTGGGGTGGCAGAACCGAGGGATGCTGGAATTACAGACCCCAAGAATTCCCGGCTTAGGGAATCCTGGGATTGTGGAATTGCCTGGCTTGGAAATGACCCCGAAAACCACAAATTGCACAGGGAAGGAAGTGGGGAAGGGGGAGGAACTCGGGGCTCCTTTTCCCCATCCCAAACATTCCCGAGGTTGCCTGCAGCAGCCCCTGCCGTTGTTTTTTTTTTGGGAATTCCTGGCACGGGGGCGGGCACCGGGCGTCTCCCGGCCCTGGGCCCGTCGGGACTCGCTCGGCTTCCCGAGGATTTCCATGGATCCATCCCAACAAACCGGCCCGGGCACAGCCACTGCCAGCGGGGCCCGCCCGGCCCCGGGGGGACCCTGGGGATCCCAAAGGGAACGGCCCCGATCCCGGGGGGAGACCCTGGGGGATCCCAAAGGGAACGGCCCCGATCCTGAGGGGATCCCAAAGGGAACGGCCCCGATCCCGTGGGGAGACCCTGGGGGATCCCAAAGGGAACAGCCCCGATCCTGAGGGGATCCCAAAGGGAACGGCCCCGATCCCGGGGGGAGACCCCGGGGGATCCCAAAGGGAACGGCCCCGATCCCGGGGGGAGACCCGGGGGGATCCCAAAGGGAACGGCCCCGATCCCGGGGGGATCCCAAAGGGAACGGCCCCGATCCCGGGGGGATCCCAAAGGGAACGGCCCCGATCCTGGGGGGATCCCAAAGGGAACGGCCCCGATCCTGGGGGGATCCCAAAGGGAACGGCCCCGATCCCGGGGGGATCCCAAAGGGAACGGCCCCGATCCCGGGGGGATCCCACAGGGAACGGCCCCGATCCCGGGGGGATCCAGGAAATGGCCCCGATCCCTGAGGAATCCCACAGGGAACAGCCCCAATCCCAGTGGGATCCAGGGAATGGCCCCAGTCCCACAGGGATCCTGGAATCCGTTCCCAGCCCAAGCTCAGGAAGAACAAACCCCAAGATTTTCCTGTTTTTTCCCTTTTCTCCAAGTGTTTTTCCCTTCCCTCTCCCGTGTGATTTTCTCCCTGCTCCAGTTTTACTTCCCTTTAATCTCTGGGATTTTCTCCCTCTCCCAGGTTTCTTTTCCTCCTTCCACCCTTTTTTTTCTTCCCCATCTCCAGTATTTTTCCCTTTTTCCATATCTTTATCTCTTCCATTTTCTTCCATCCTGCTGCATCTTTTTTCCCCTTTCCTATTTTTCTCCTTCTCTTTTTTCCAGAGCTTTTCTTTCTCTGCTCTGCAATTTCCCCTTCTCCAATCCACACATTCCCTAAACCCCCCCCCCCACCAAGGACTGAGGAAAACTCCCAAAATTTCTGAAAATTCCACCAAAAATCCATGGAACAGCCGTGATCACCATGGCCTTGGACTTCCTGCAATTCCCAGATTTCTCAGGCATTCCATGACCCACTCGGGGGAGGTCATGGCATCCTCAAAACCCCTCAAAATCCCGATTTGGGCTGAAAAGGGGCGGATCCCAGTGGATCCCAGCAGGTTCCCAGTGTATCCCAGTTGCTCCCAGTGGATCCCAGTTGCTCCCAGTGAATCCCAGCAGGTTCCCTCACCCTCAGCACCGATGGAGACGAGCTTGACGCCCTTGCTGGCGATGAAGTCCAGGGCTTTGTTGACGTTGTTGATCTTGTGCACCCTCATCTTGCCCCGCTCTGGCTTCGGCAGCCGCTCCCCTGCAAAGGGATCAGGGTCAGGACTGAAGGTTTGGGCAAAGCTTAAAGGGTTTGGGCAAAGCTTAAAGGGTTTGGGTGAGGCCCAAGGGGTTTGGGGCTGGGATAAAGGATCTGAGTCAGGGTTAAAGGGTTTGGGTCAAGGTTAAAGGGTTTGGGGCTCAGGTAAAAGATTTGGGTCAGGATTAAATATTTAGGGTCAGAGTTAAAGGATTTTAGGTCAAGTTCAAAGGTGTTTGGGATACTTAGCATCTTAGCACAAAATTTTAGTACTTTGGGCCCAGTTTGGTGGTTTTTGGGGCCCGGTTTAAGGATTTTGAGTTTGGTTTGGGGGTTTCTGGGCCCAGTTTAAGGATTTTGGGGGTTTCTGGCCCACGCCTGACCTGAGATGACCTCGAGCAGCAGCATCAGCTTGAGCCCATCCCGGAAATCCTCGTCGATGTTCTCGATCTGCGTGCCCGCCTTGCGCAGGTGGGAATTGCACCAGGCCGTGAACGTCTGCGGGGTCACAGCAGAGTTTGGGATTTGGGATTTGGGGGAAATTGGGGAATTCGGGAGCCTGGGGGGTCCCTGTCCCACTGTGAGGGATCCCCAGTTATTGATCCCAATGGGAATGGTCCCACTGATCCCACTGGGAATGGTCCCAAGCCTTTCATCCCACTGGAATGGTCCCACTGATCCCACTAGGATCCATCTGGGACTGTCCGGGGACACCCCAGGATTTGGGGTCCCATTTTGGGGTCCATGATCCCCCCCATGGCTCTGGGACTGCCCGGGGACACCCCAGGATTTGGGGTCCCATTTTGGGGTCCATGATCCCCCCCATGGCTCTGGGACTGTCCGGGGACACCCCAGGATTTGGGGCCGGGTTCTGGGGTCCCGCTCTGGGGCGGAGGTGCCGCGGATCGAGGGCGGCTCCGGGCGGTGCCGGGACTTTGGCCGGGGGTGCCAGGCCCGCACATGCCTGGGCCAGGCGCGGCCGGGCGCGGCACCGGCAACGCCAACAACAGCGG